CACAGCGATTGCTCTCCATCTACTCTCCTCAACAACTCTACTATGCGCGTATTTCATCGTATCCCAATACGTATACGGCTTCGATCTCGTCACTCACCCGACCCAAACCCTTCGCATTCTTCTGGTATTATAACCCATCAAAAGGTTTCTGGTAGGGATTCTGATATTAAAGTTGCTGACATGATGAATTTGGCAGATTGTTGAAGCTCCGGTGGTGATTGGATCCCACAGTTGGGTACGGCGAAATCCGAAGGATTGCTCGGTGATGCACGACACCCGTTTGTTGAAATTCCTCTTGGAGTTTGGGTTCCTTGGTTTTTGTTTGAATGTGGGCTTTTTTGCGTTGTTGCAGCTTTTGAAGGCGGCTGGGCGAGGATTGTTAAGCCTGCCAATTGGTTAGTCTCTTGACTGCAATTTCCCCATAAAAATGAGAAAATGTGAGGTTTTGGTTCAAAGCCCGGGGTGCATTTAGTTTCTTTTCTAGGGGCTGGAGCCTAGATTACTTGGTTTTCTTGGGAAATGTTGATTTTTTTTGGTATCACTGATGCACCGTTAACAATTATGCCCTGTTTGGATGGAGGGTAGAGAGGGGGAGGGGAAGAGAAATGAGGCTTTCACCTTGTTTGGGAGTTTTTTTAAGGAGGGTAGAGAGGAGGAAGGAAGGGGAAATGAGGGTAAAATTGCTTGGTTTTCTTCCCCCCGATTTGGGCGGTAGAGGAGGGTAAAGGAGGGTAAAGGGGTGTAATGACATTCTTACACCCATCAAAACAAATAAAAGGGCTGATGTGTTATTAGTATAAAGTCATTTATGTAAATTTACATATATTTACTTCCTTTCACCTTCATTCACCTTACTCAACTCCCAAACAACATATTACAATTCTCTTCCCTTCCCTTCCCTTCCCTTCCCGTTGTTTACCTTTCCTTCCCTTCCCTTAGGGCTTGTTTGGATTGAGGGGAATGAGGGTGAAGGGAAGTTAGGGGAACCATTCACTTCCATTCACCTTGTTTGGGAACACTTAGGAGGTGAAGTTAATTCACCTCCATTCACCGTGGTTCACCCCCTAATAGTATAAAAATTGTTATCCCCCAAATTGGGGTGTAACCAAGGGGAAGGGAATTCCCTTCCCTTCCCTTCCTTTCCCTTCCCTTCCCTTCACTCAGTTTCCCTTAACTTCCCTTCACCCCCTACGAATCCAAACAGGCCCTTAGTAAACTCCCAAACACACCATTAGGGAATTTGACTTTAGGCGGCCGAAATTTTCGAGCGGAATAGGATATTGTGTTTGAATAACATTTGATGCCTCTCTTCTTCGTTGTTCATGTTGTGTATTTCGACACGTTAAAGGTGGGATTTGGCTTTCTTTTTTGCTTCACCTGAATGATTGTCAAATGGCTTAATGGACAAAATCCCCAATCCCGACATGGTCCTTTATCAGCTAGTGGTTAACTGGTGAAGAAATTTATATATTCGAATCGCCAAGACAATATTGCCTCTTCTTAGAGGAAGTTTTCTTTAAGTAAAATACTTGGGTTTAACTTTAGGATTGACATATATGACTTAGTGCTTAGTAGGCGTTATAAAACTTTGTAAAGACTTTTTATTCATTGCGGCCCTCAATGCTTCATTGGTTTATTGTTAATTCTAGTAGTCGGCTCATTATTATTATTTGTTTGATAGGAATACACACAATTTCTGTATCAAACTTTTAGTTTCCCTCTGTTTTCTACTCCCTCCCTGTATATATTCAGTAGCACGTTCCTCTCTTGTTAACGTGTATGATCATAAATTCTTTTTTGATTTCAGAAGACCATGATATTATGCAAAGTTCATATCTCATTATGTCTTTGGTATATTAAGTTAACTTGGAAATCTGTTGTTGGCTAAGGTTGTCTTTACTGGAATTTCATTACATGTGATACATTTGCAAGTAAAAAGATGTCCTTTATTGCCTGAATATAAATGTTGGATAAATTTTCTTTGTTAGAGAAATATCTGAAAGTATATACTACTTATGCACTTTTGTTAGTGGCAAGGATGCTCAATAAAAGGATAAGTCATGATTTTGAATATCTAACTATTGTGCATGCCAAAAGCACATGGTGCTTTTCTCAGTAGAAGTTTTCTTAATTTTAGATTGTAATCATTCTTGCCACTTCTAGAGCTGATTAATAAGATTCTGATCTATAGGTGTGATTAAGCCTTATGACAGGAATAATTGACCATTATACTCACCACATCCACATGTCAATATATAACAGCTTTCACTCTTTCTGTCTGCTTTAAACAGTCCATTTACAGTTTTAAAATGCACTCTTGCGCATCTCTCAGGATGTTTAACGAGTAGTTTTTTATAAATTATATTCATAACCATCCCAATCGTATTTCCTATGTAGGGAGTAGTAATAGAGCACAAGGTGCCATGAAGGATTTGACAAAGTTCTACAATTGGCTGCCAACTTGGCATCAATCCGCCGATTTTTAGTCAAAATTGTTGAGGAAACAATGACAATAGAGGAAAATGTGATAGATTCTATGGGCTTTTGTCTGATAGGAATATCTATGTCATCTTCACTAATGTAGTTCATGCTCATGTAAATGAGAAACACTCCAGAGTTCTCCAAGATTACAAAATTCTCCCAGGTTAAGAAAATGTCCATAGGAAAAAAGACGACAAATTTGCTGTAAGGTAGTTATTAGAGTTATCAGAGTATCAAAGTTATTAATATATTGGGAAGTTAGAGAAATTCGTTTTAGTCCCACATTGAGCAACTATATAATTGTATCCTTCTTGCTCTCTATAAATAATACCTGACTATCTCTCTTTGGATATGAAGCCAGTTGTCCATGGTAACAGTTGCATCAACTCTTTTTTAAAACTATACTCACTTTTTAATAGGAAAGTGTAGAAGCATGATATGAAAGATAGAAGGGTAGTTGGTATATCAGAAGGCCTATGTTTTTTTGTCATTTAGTTGAATTCATTTTTTTCCTCAGCAATTCTACAATAACAAGTTCCATTTCTGCTAATTTTAGATATTTATTTTCAGTTTTATTGACTTCATAAAAATGTAATCTATTTATTCTTCCAGGTGCTTTGCTAAATGCATTTGGAGCAATTGTTCTTGGAGCACCTATTGGGATTAAGTAAGAATCCTTTCATTACGCAGATAATGTAGTCAAGTACTCTCTTTCTTACACAGTTACACTTCATCTTGTCCATCTACTTTATGGGATATTCAACTGATATATTATATTTATATACGTAGACAGATTATACCTAACTTAAAATTACTTTCATCACCATTTCCTTAATGCCTTCGTATTTTGCATTGGATGCAGGTACTTGGCACGAACAGCTTACTGGTCCCTTCTCATGTCTCTATTTACCGTCAGTATCTCCTCTTTCCTGTGCGAAGTATTGTATTTAATGACCTTGAGCAGCAAAAATTAGGAGTCTAAACTAAATTAGAAGTTAGAAGGGCTAATTCTGAGCATTCAGTCAATCTCGGTTGAAGCCTTAAGACTTCCTCCTATATTATTTGTTAGTTTGAAATATTCAGAATTAGCATTTGTTAGTGTTAAATTCTTTGATGAAATAGTAAATCTCTCATTTTCTGATTCCATGTAATGACTATTGACTAGACTGTCCCTTTGATGAACTTGCACAAGAGTACTTGCTGCTGTAATTAGCTGAACAAATGGAGCATGTGAAAACTCTTTCTAATCGGATCTATTCCTACTGTCTACATTAATAAACCTGAAAGAAGCATATGGTACTTTTGTTTACTGCGTTAGGGACAATCAGTGAATGTTTGGTGATTATAAATTTATAACTCAAGTCTTAATGTGCTTGAACTCCTCCAGATTTAAACTTCATTTAAATGTTGAGCAAAAGATTGTCATGTCAGTGCACCTTAGACAAATTTGTATTTAAGGTATAAATTTGGTTATAAATGAATAATAGATAGTTGACGAATCTTTGTGTTATACAAAATCCTTGCTAAATTATTCATGAATTCGATACAATTCTTGATTTTCAGCCTACAGAGCGATAGGATGAGCTAAGGGGCTGTTTGGTTGTATGTTTTTACCATGTAAAAGGATGGAAAGTGTAAAAAAGTGGGTCCCAATGTCAGCTTTCATCACTTTCAATTGTTTGTTTGTAGTTGTGAAAATAGTGTAAAGTGATTTCATATGCTGATGTGGCTTGTAAAGTGATTTCATAAAAAAAAGACATAATTTTAGGAGAAAGCTAACATTGAAGTCAAAATAAAAAATAAAAAATAATTCCAACCAATATGATCATTTGAGTAGGGACCACTTTTTACACTTTCCAAACAAACAATTAAAGTTACATTTATAAACCAAACAAGCAATTTATGATTCCAATGGAATAAAAAACAAACAAAGAAAAGTATACAAGTGAAATTGATGAGGTGGACAACAACTTTCCAAGTTGTGTCATAAATACACAATTTTACCAACAACAACCAAACAGCCCCTAAGTCTTTACTTGATATCTTGACATGTGGATTTGTATTTGTCATTTTATGCATCATTGCTTGTATAAATTCATTAGTTTAGCAACTGACATGAATATTGGTGATTTCGCAGTTTGTGCCTGCAGCTTGTGTGTTTGGCTCATCAAGGATAGATTGGCAACATTTTGTAGCTTGCGACAAGTAGGTGTCTTGCTGCAATTGCCATTTTCCAGTTCCTACTAAATTTATCATATTTTTCTAAGCTTCAATGGATTTCTTTTCTTCAAGAATTCTTGTAATGTGTCAAATTATTCTCTTCCATTTTCTGCAACTAATTTCTTATATTAATGGATTGCCCTCCTGTGACAGGCCAACTGAAATTACTGATTACATGATTTATTTTCCCGCATATGGAGCTGTTGTCGGCGCATGGGTTGGTGCTTGGCCAATGCCCCTTGATTGGGAAAGACCATGGCAGGTTTTTTTTAATCTTTTTTATTATTGCTTTTATATCAAGGCTAATACTTGATATTTATATTGTTATGTGGCGCATAAGTTATGCCTATTAGTGTACACTATCACTTTTTATTGAAGCATCTTTTAACGGGTATGACATCTGAGACGGAGTTTCTTCGAATATCTCCACATTTTGTTTATACTGCAAAATCATTTCTAGTTCTTCTTTTATGCTTTAAGATCTTTGCATATGACTTCTGAAATTGAAAGATAACATTTTGCATGGATGGGTTAACGGGAGCTTTTCTTGCATTTTTCTTTTTGATTAATGGGATTTTGATGGAAGAAAGTGGGAGGGTGAAGTAGAACAGTTAGAAATATACTAAAAAAGTGATTTGAGTGTGTCTCTCTCTTTAACTTTCCACCTTTAATGAGCTTTTCCTTTATCTGATATAATCATGGTTATGTTCAGGTGTGTGTGTGTGTGTGTGTGCACGAGCGCGGGCGTGTATGTATATAGACACACACACACACATACACATATACACACACATATATATGTACACACACGTATATATACACACACATTTATGTACACACACGTATATATACACATACATATATATGTGCACACACATATATATACACATACATATATATGTACACACACACAACTATATATATAGATATACATATATATGTATATCTATATACATATGTACACACACACATATAAAGATCGAGAAAAACATCGGTGCTTATAAATTATCTCTGTCAATCTTTTCAGTATGTGGGGATCATTGCAACGCTTCTATAAGCAAAATGATCTAGACCTCTTTCAGTATTATAAAGTAGTATATATTCAGTACTTTTCTAAATTTTAATCTGGACCCTTTGACATAATATTCTTGTAGGAGTGGCCGATTTGTGTTACATATGGTTCAGTTGCCGGATATTTGGTGGGGTTATTAGCATCATCGGTGTGCATCCTGCTGTATGTAAAAAGACCGACACATACCAAAAGCGACTAACTTCATAACAATGTCTCCTTTAGTAAGTCTTGTTTATGCTGATTTTGTTCTTGACTGTCTCATGTTTTGCTTCAAATTTTTTTAGTTTTCTTTGAACTTTTTCCCACTACTTGGGATTACTATACGAAAATGGATAACTAGCAAATGTTTAATTATTTTGTGTCACAGTTCGTATGTCCTTATCGTTATCCAAGCATTTGTAGCAGGAGTTGCAAGATAACTAATGCTCTGAAAACTGTACTTCGATTGCTTTTTTGTTCTGTTTAGAGCATCTCCAACAGCTTCCCCATCTTCTTGAAATACTCAAATTTGGAGAATATAGAGCTTTTTTTGGTCCAACAGATTCCCCATCACATTCCCCAAAATAGGGAAGGAGGAGAAAAAATAGGGAGCCTTCCCCAAATATGCAGCATTCTCCAAATTTTTGGGGAGAGCTTTATTATTGTAATAAATGCGATTTTTCAAAATGGGGAAGCTGTTGGAGTTGGAGCAAAAATAATTTGGAGAATATGACTTTTGTTTCTTCATTTTGAAGAAATTTTTGGGGAAGCTGTTGGAGATGCTCTTAGGCTCCGGACTTGTTTCACACCTCCTTTTCTCTAATTATTATTCAAGTGATTCATTAAATATCTGATAATGTGCTCTTTTCTTAAAGTATGCTACGTTCCTCTCATAGTCAGTTCTCCCTCCCTGGTAAATGTTGTTCTCTCATGTTTTCTGGCTGGCAATTGGGATTTTTTTAACCAAAAAAAAAAAAAAAGGAAAATAACTATTCCATAGTATAAACAAGTATGAGGAGGTTGAGTATAGTTACATTCAAAGGATTTGAAAAGAGTGAGGAACTTATACAGGGTCTATCAATACCTAGCAACTAGTGTTTTTGATTTATTTGGTCTTAATCTTTCGTCAGGGCTCATTTCTTCACGCCTTGTTTGATACACTATAATCGAGTCAAATGAAAATGGAATGAAATAAGGAATGGAACGATACGAGTGGGGGAGTGACATTTTTTTCTTCTATTTTTGACATGGGTAATTAATGAGCAATCAAGTCATCATTACTGTACATGGAGAGTGAAAAATCCATTTCAAATTAAGATGTCTTTATCTTGAGGAAGGGTAAGATCCAATGCAATTTATAGAGGATATACTAGTAGTAACATCTGAATGATTTAAAAATCATAAACTAGACACAAATGCACGATTAAAGTGAGTGATAGAACTAGTGTAGAGGTTGATCTAAAAACCAAATGAAACAAGTTGACATCGCCATAAAAATCAACATTTGTGTTGAAGGAAAACACTAATTCAGGATCTAGTGAGCTCATCTCTATACCAATTATTGAAAACCCCTTCACTCCAGTCCAAACAAAATCTACCCAAAGAATAGAAAAGAAAAAAAAACCAAAAAAAAAAAAAAAGATTAGCGGCAGCAGGGTCAGCTGAGTACGTGTTTCGTAGGTTAGGTTTTGCAATTCAGAAAGGATTAGCGACGCAGCTTGTTGCCCGTTTGTCATCATCACATGTGTAATTTTTTTCTCTTATTTTTATAGAAATATTTAAAAAAAAACCTTTAACGTCTTGAGAACGCGAACCTAACGTCTCCTACGATCCCTTTACTCCCTCTATGAAACTCACCACAACACTATCATCTCCATCTGCATCAATCTCTCTCAACAGTCAACAGCTCCCCAATCCCCAACCTCAACCTTGTCCTCATCATCTCACTCCTCCCCAACCTCATCCCCAAACGCACAAAACTCCCAGCAAAATGGGTCGACTCCGGCCCAATCCCCTCCTCATTCCCCGGACAAGCATTCACATATACATCGAACTTCACCTTCTCACTCTTCATCGACTCTATATCATCCACCACCAACACCTCCTCTTCCCTCTCCTTCTCCTCTTCACTCCTCATCACCCTCAACCTCTTAACCTCCACCGTCACCGGAGATTCAAGCCGTACCGGTAAACTCACGTCTTCCGTCGCTTCAGGCTTCTCAACCCTCTTTGGGCCGGCTTGACAGGCTTGTAACCAGCCCATCGCATTCAACATCTTGATACGTATACCCAAGCCTCGACGTATCAAGACTATCTCGAACCGTCGCCCTAACAAGGCTTAAATTCTCGTCCCAAAACAAAACCGGCGCGTCGAGCCAATCTTCGTCGCTAAAATGCCCCTCTGTTTTTGCCGGCGAGCTTTGCCGACCAAAGATGCCACATCCGGTCAATGTTCCCGTGGTGTGCGTAGAACACCGGCTCCCGTCTGGCTGTGTACAATGCCCCCATATTCCCCCCGTTCTTTTGCATGCTTCCGATCTCCTGTCCACGAATGCACCGCATTGTGCTGCATGCTCTTCATCGACCCGGCTCCCAGCGAGACATACAGCGGCCCCATTTGTCGGTACGTCGTATGTAGATTCCGTTCTGTGAGGTTAACAATATTCAATGTGTCAGTGTCGTTATAGTTCAGGTCTATGATTGTCGGCGGCGGGTGAACTGTTGGATTTAAATCTAATTAAATCTATTTGTGGGCACATATGATTAATCAATGTGTATTACTATCTTTAAGGATAATCCATTAAAGTGATCAATCAATTTGGGTTAATAGGTATTTAAATATATCATAGGGTTATATGTGCAGATTCCAGGTTGTAATTGTAATTTGTTGAGGGGCCAAATTACAAATATACAACACCTATATATAAGGGGTTATGGTCCCTAATCTAGGGTTAACCACTCTCATTTTCTTATCCCCATCTAAAGAGATCCATAAGAGAAACTCTAAGGTTAGAAGATCATCAAAACCCTAATCAAGTTTTCTTCAATGGATTCAGGTATATGCTTCCGTACCTTTTGATTCTTGTTAATCTCTTTGAATTAAATCATGACTTTATGGTTTAGATCTCAAGTTTTTATTAGATCTAACAAGTGGTATCAGAGCCACCATTGATTTGTTCTAAGAGATTAAGATTAAAATTAGGGTGCTTTGATCTTAATTTGTGTTTGATTCGGATCCGTTCATGGATGAACAGTAAAGTTTCTTATTTTCGGATGAACAGTAACCGTTTTATTTTCGGTGAACAGTAATTTTTTTTAACTTTTCGGGAGAACAGCAAAATAATTTATTTTCGGATGAACAGTAAAGATTTTTATTTTCGGATGAATAGTAAAATTCTCATGTTGTTTGGTTTTTCTTTCGATTTTTGTATCTGTAGCATTTATGAACTCTAAAGTTCATTTCTTTTGTGTTTGATTCAATTTTTGAGGTTTGGATCTTTATGAACTCTAAAGTTCATTTCTTTTGTGTTTGATTCAATTTTTGAGGTTTGGATCTAAATGATTTGAATTCAAAAATCGACAGAAAAAATAATTATCTTTTTTTTTGGGATTTTTTGATTTGTCGTCAATCTCCAAAACTCCTCGTCGGAGTTGATTCAGCGACGGCGGTTTCAGATTAAACCCTCAAGGGGTTCGTGCACGTGAAAACGTGCTAAAATTAAGGAGGTGGTTGGTTACCTTTTGGCGAGAAAACTTGCTAAAATTAAGGAGGTGGTTACCTCAATTTTTGGCGAGAAAACGTGCTAAAATTAAGGAGGTGGTTACCTCAATTTTTGGCGAGGCTTGAAAGCTTCAAACGAACCTTGCGTTCGTTCTCAAACGAACCCACGTTCGTTCTCTAATGAAAAATGCGTTCGTTGACGCTGCGCTCGTTCTCAAACGAACATTGCGTTCAAACGAACATTGCGTTCATTCGTTCATTGCGTTCAAAAGAACATTGCGTTCGTTCGTTCATTGCGTTCATTCATTCACAACGAGTATATTATAGAACTCGTTAAAGTTAGAGCACAGACCAAATAATCTGGGCTTTGTTTAATCTTTGGAACTTGTTTAAACATTGGCCTTGACTTGAGAATTTTATTAAGATTTTGGACCTGTGTTTAATCATCGGGTATAAGCTCCTTTAAGCTCATTTTGGGCACAAGGATTAATTGAATTTATCAATTAAATCCTATTTGTGGGTCATAATTCATTATGGGCCCTTAATTAAGCTATGAAAATTCAGTTGATTTAATTTAATTATTTAATTTAAATTAAATTTGGTAGTGGATCAATTAGTTATTTCAAATAATATGACACTAAGGTATTAAAGTTGTCTTTCATTCTAAATGATCGATTGAAACAAGAAGTTGCCAAAGTAACCTCTCTTGTGTAGATTGTTCATGAGGGATGTTAGATGTTTGTGTGTATGTTTTCGTGTAAATATTTAATCGGCCCAAAGGAAGGTTATTATTTATTTTTAGATTGCATACGCATCTGTGATGATAAATATGTGACGATTATAAGGTTTATATGTGGATAATGAATCGATCCAAAGATAGTTTTATTATTTGACATGCGTTATTGTCAGTATTTGATCATTGCAACAAGGTATCACTTGCAATTAATATTACTGTCCAAAGACTTGATATTAATGTTGTACCAGATATCTTGAGATGGGATTTATCATTATTTGAATTTTGTCGATCACTAATTAAGGTTAAAAATCTTTTGTTAATGCATCTGCTGCAACAATTTCTGCTAACATCAACTCAATTCTCATGCTCAATGAGACTAATTTTAAGGTTTGGAAAGATAACATTTTAATTGTTCTTGGCTGCATGGATTTAGACTTTGCATTAAGAACTGAACAACCCCAACCTCTCAATGCGGATAGCACTCCTGATGCAAAGAAGGAGTATGAGAAATGGGAGCGTTCAAATCGCATGAGTCTAATGATCATTAAGCGCGGCATTCCGGAAGCCTTCAGGGGCATAGAATCTGAAGTGATTACTAAGGCTAAAGATTTCATTGCCGAAATTGAGAAACGTTTTGCGAAAAACGATAAGGTAGAAACAAGCACACTTTTAGCTTGCTTGATTTCAATGAAGTATAAGGGCAAAAAAAATATCAGGGAGTACATTATGGAAATGTCTCATATTGCTTCAAAGCTTAAGGTACTTAAACTCGATCTTTGTGATGAGTTATTGGTACATCTGGTTCTGTTGTCTCTTCCTGCACAATTCAATCAGTTTAAGGTCAGTTATAACTGTCAAAAGGAGAAATGGAATCTAAATGAGCTCATTTCATACTGTGTGCAAGAAGAAGACATGTTGAAGCAAGATAAGACTGAAAGTGCTCATTTGGCTTATGCCTCTAAGGATAAGGGCAAGAAAAGAAA